TATAAAACGACACGCAGAATTTACCTCTGTCGTCGTCTTCGCCCGCTGCTCTCTCTTTACCTTCCTTCTCGCTGATGGACCCACCTTTCATCCGGACTCTCTTATTGACTTTTTGACAACGACTGACTTACTTCACAAATTCTGATACTTTCAGCCCTTTCTACTTGTATCTCTTGCTACCCTCTACCCCCGTACTATCCCCTGCCCCGCTGTTTTCTGTAACCTGCTGATCATCCCCCCTCCCTCCTGCCATCCAATTCCCTTGCTTCCTTCCCTACCCTGCAGCGCTGTATAGCCCTTGTGGCTTAGCGCTTCTTTTTGATTATAATAATAATAATATTTCTAGAACACTGCAAACTCTTGATGTGTTGATTGCAATACACAAACGGCCTATCATTCAACTCCCCCTGTGGTTATTTTGTATGCAAATACTTATATGCAGTATACAAAATAATTACACCATGTCATAAGAAGTATGGAAGTATATAATTTAACGATCGACCTAACAGGTGTAACAGTAGGGCCACGCCCATTAGATTACAAGTGTGACATAACATTAAGGTCACTCCCATTACATCACAAGTGCGATGATCTCCCTCGAGACATGCTTCTACATAGAAAATTTTTATTTGCATAGTATACAAGTGCTGTACATGTACAGCACTTGTATATTTGAACAGTGCAATACTGTATATATTGAAGATGAGATTGTGTGTAATAGAGATATGTACACAGTAATAGTTTAGATTAGCAGTCAGTGTTGTTAGAGAAGTGTGTCGCACAGTGTGGATAATTATTGCTAGTTCAGTCTCAATGTACTGTCAATGACATGAATCTCAACAATTATGACATGAGTAATACATACTCTTAAGTATTGTATTGCTCATGTCATATTATTATGATCATTAATATTATTTTATTTATGGAGAAGCACTAAATCCACAGGGGTCCTCACCAGCATCAAGATATTAAACCAACTTTGCTGTTCATCATGAGTAAAAATTAACAATAGAATTTGAAATTTGGTAAACATTATTTTTCTTAGCTGATGTTAAGATACGCTAGGACCGCCACATCCTCCTGGGGTACACTCCAAGAACCTAAGTTGGTTTTTTGTTTACATACGTACCTATTATAAAGTTTAATTGATAAATTATGTACAGTAGGTGGAGAATTATCACTTTTTCACTGACGGGAAGTACTTTACAGCTTCTCTTAGTCTTTGAAGAACTACCGCCATCACTAGTTTTGCACTCTGAGGCCGTTATTATGCAAAGTTAAGGGTTATTTTTGGGTCACGGATAACTGAACCCGTGGATATGGGGGTCCTTCTGTACTTATTTTTATATGCATAAATGATCACGAATTTTTGATACAGTGAGACCTTAATATTAACTTAAGTCATTGAAGAGCTGCCATATATCTACATAATAATCATTTTTATTACCCAGTTTAGGGATTTGTGCAGATGAAGCTTAACACTGTAAAATAATAATAGCTAATTTATGTTTCTTTTAACATTACTAATTATTGGAAAAATAAAGAGCTTTGTAGTTTACAAATTAATCAAAAATATACAATATCAGTGAGAATATCAGTAGATGCAGTGATGATAAACACTATGACTTAATTATATTAATAATAAACATTAATAATAATAATGAACCCATTCATAACTGGTTAAACATTCACATTATTACTAATTAACATTTTTTGGGAAAAAACTGGTAGCCATATTACTGTGAAAAATACTTTTTATCGAGGGCTACAAGGCAACGTAAAATAATGGCAAACCTTCGATTTAATGAAGTCAATAGCGAGGGAAGGACGAGTATGGTGGATAGACATGAGGTTTTTTCTGCCATCATGGTACCAATGATGGGTAATTCTGTAACTATTGCTGTTTGTCATTTCTTAGAACTGCCAACAAAATGTTTGGTAAATAGACACAGATGCAACATGCGACATTTTTACCTTGGCAACATTTCACTCTCCAGGATCTTTGTTAAGCTGTCCAGCGCTGTATAGCCCTTGTGGCTTAGCGCTTCTTTTTGATTATAATAATAATAATGTTAAGCTGTTATGGCTTGACTAAGCTCCTGGAGAGTGAAGTGTTGCCACAATAAAATGTCACATTATTTGTATCTGTGTCTATTTACCTAACAATTTATTTGTGAATGAATCAACTCTGCAGATTTTGTCCCATATTTCCAAAGTTCATTAAACCAAGTTTGATTAAATTGAGGGTTTACTGTACAGATGAATCAAGTTGGAAATACAGTGGACCCCCGGTTTACGATATTATTTCATTCCAGAAGTATGTTCAGGTGCCAGTATTGAACGAATTTGTTCCCATAAGAAATACTGTGAATTAGATTAGTCCATTTCAGACCCCCAAACATACATATACAAATGCACTTACATAAATATACAGTGGACCCCCGGTTAACGATATTTTTTCATTCAAGAAGTATGTTCAGGTGCCAGTACTGACCGAATTTGTTCCCATAAGGAATATTGTGAAGTAGATTAGTCCATTTCAGACCCCCAAACATACACGTACAAACGCACTTACATAAATACGCTTACATAATTGGTCGCATTGGGAGGTGATCGTTAAACGGGGGTCCACTGTACTTACATAATTGGTCGCATTGGGAACTGATCGTAAAGCGGGGGTCCACTGTATATATTGAGGATCTTTATTTAGATTTTAAGGTAGTTGTTCAACCTACATCTCTCAGGTTTCAGTAAGCTCATAACCAGGAATTAAAACATAAAATTAGCTCACAAGAAATGTAGAAAACCTACAAACATGTAGTGGACTGGTAGCATTAGTAGAATGTAAACAAATACAGTAGTTATTTTTTGCATAAAACAAATGCAAGGTTTAAAGGCATATTAGAGTTAGGAACTAAGAGTAGTACTGAATTATGTATATATATGTGCCATGACAAAAGAAGGTGGCAAGGCCAGTGGCATTTTAGGAGTTCACTAATGGGGACACAGAGCTTTTTACCGACCTCTCTGCAGAGAACGATCAGCTCTAGGGGGGGACGCCATGCTGCGTCACCAAGAGATGAATTTGGTGGCTTGATCTCTCATGACCTTCTCCGTGATGCAACAACTACTGAGCACCCTCTAGGAACACCAGAAATCCTTGGCAAAGGTAATGAGGAGCTGGGTGTGTTAGATAGGAGTGGAGGCAAATGGTTTTTATGACATGACGTGCTATTGGGGTGCAAGCAAGGTAACATTTATGAAGGGATTCAGAGAAACGAGTTAGCCAGATTTTGAGACCTGAAGTTGGAAAGTACAGTGCCTGCACTCTGAAGGAGGAGTAGAGATATGCTGTAGTATTTGAACTATAGTATTGGAATGCCTCTGACAAGACACTAATGAAGTGATGATGAAAGCATTTCTTTTCTGGGTCACCGTCTCTTGGTGGGAAACAACCAGTATATTAAAGTAAATATCCTTCTTTCCACATTCTGCCTATTTACATTTTAAGCTGAATGTTATAATTATGTAAAATTAAAATCTAGCATTTTTAATACACCAGCCATTTCCCACTAAGGTAGGTTGACCCTAAGCTGTCTTTCCAGAGGTGCAAGACATCACAACTCAAGTCCCCACCAGACTGCAACATTTCCTCCTGTCCTTGAGAGTGCTACAGGTTTTCCTCTCCAAATCCATTTTTTCTCATGACTTTTTTCAATATTATCACCATGTTTGTCAATGAGACAAGCCTGTTGCTCAAAGGGGTTTTCTGGCCACATATTTTAAGTATTAGTACAATGTGTGCTATTTTCAGTTTGTCAGATTTGTTTCTTGCAATGAAAGTGATTCAGAGTGGATAACCAAGTTCTCTTATGTATTCTTAAAATAATGATCTTCTTTGTGTTCCTGTTCTCTAATCCTCTTTCAAGTATTCCATCCTTCTTTAATTTTTTTTTTTTTTTTTTTTTTTATCTGATAATCACTGAGTTGTACCAATTTATAGGCACTCGCGATTCTTTGGAGTTTGAGTGGCAAATGACAAATTGGTCCGAGTGTTCGCAGACGTGTGGCTTCACCAGCTCTTCTAGTGGTTACCAGGTGAGTACTTGTGTAGAGCTTGTCACACACACCTCAGAGTTTTTTAATTCACTTTATGGTCATTATTGCAGTCATGGGGAAGAGCTAAACTCGTAAGGATCATACAATGCCTGGGGAATGGGAGGTAATCAGGAGTGTCTTCATATATGTTTTTATGGTATTGCACATCCATGTAGTATTTTGAAAGTTATATGATAATGAACAAGTTTTAACAGTATATGTCAAGGTCACTGCCATATTTCATTTTAAGAATATATAGGTATTTTTATTACCTTTTAGTGTATGTATATAAAATTTCAAGTTTTCCAGAATATAATTAATCTTCTTAACATTATAATACATTTCAAAGTTGACCGGTTGCAAGAAATTGATTTATTGCGAGTGTTGCTCAGGTTCGTTCAATCCAATGCCTGGTGAGAGTGAACAATGTGAGTCGACAGTAGATGGAGCCTTGTGTGTTGATGCTGGACTTGAAGCTCCAGTCACCATACAGCGATGTGGTCTTACAGAGTGTCCACAGTGGCATTTTGGAGAGTGGTCGGAGTGCGAGTCATCACGGTGTTTCACACTTCATTATGGTCAGTCTCCTCTGTAAATGTGTTTACTTAATTATAATTATTATTATTGTAGTGTAGGCACACATCTGGCAAGACAGTGATGGAGTGAATGATGATGAAAGTGTTTCTTCTTTTTCAGGTCACCCTGCCTTGGTGGGAAATGGCCGATGTGTTAATAATAAAAAAATTATTAAGTGATAGTATGATGAAAATAACTTTATTTCCCAAGAAGATATATTAGAATTACAAAAGTGAGTTAAGAGTGTATGATTTATACATGAGAGTTCCATAGTTATGTACAGTTACTGTACTTTGTTTAGTCTCGAGTTACACCTAATACTAGCAATAGAAAACCCAAAACAATATTGGATATATGTATTGTATATACTGTATATGTAATACACAATGTATCAAAATTACATGTGTAACACAGATGTCAGTGGAAATTAAGTATTTGGTGAAACATATTAAATAAAAATTTAATACATTTAATATTTTAATATTAAATTTAACATGAAATTTAATATTAAATTGCCCAGGAAGTGTCTTAGGTCAGCTACATTTTTTATTAAACAACAGTTTTACCACAAGATAAAAATTTTCAGCGTTTCAGCGTCGTGATGTGGTGTGCCGTTTACATAATGGGACGGTAGTCAGTGCCTCGCAGTGTGATGATCGAACTCGTCCACGGCATCGACAAGAATGTTACAACTATCAGTGCTCTGGAGTGTGGCGAGTGGGCGAGTGGTCTGAGGTATTAATTCTCCAAGTCTTTGGTAGTACTAGGACAAGATTTTACACATTCATGAATGTAACTCTGATTCAGTTCGTCAGATTTTTTTAGTTCAGGGTAAAAGGTACACGTTATATGATTAGATATATTTAATTCTCGATTGTTTTATATAAGGCGTCATGGGTTATATGTTTACAAAGAAGTACAAAGAAAGCCACTATCATGCCAGGGTATTTTGGGCAGACTAATCCTAGTACATAATAACTACTTAAATCTAGACAAGATAAGAGTATTCAGAATTGATCTGAAGAAAGAGAGGTAAGCTTCAATTCCTTCAAATATTAGTACTAAAGTAATAGTAATTGAAATAGTAAGAATAGCAGTGTAACAGAGAGGTGGTTTTAAGGTAGTGATAATTTTAAAAGATGAAGAGATTAGAGTGCTAGTGAAGAAATAGTAGTTGTACCTGTAGTAGTAGCAGTAGTAGTGGAAGATGAGGATATCAAACCAGTTCATCAATCTCAACCTTACCCATACATACATTTGCTGTATATCTGAACATTAACACAACACTTATAATTATCAGAGAATCGAGAGCTTTTGTTGTATGCTAAAGACACTCAGGATCCACAGTGATCAGAACAACTGGAATTTTGCTACAAAAAAGTATTATGTGTAAGGAACAGAGTTCCTTGCACATAATACTTTATCATAATGATAGAGAGAGAGGGATATAGCTTCACTAGTCTTCAGTTTCCACAAGACTGTGGACCTTGAAGGAGATACTGTTGGATGAAATTAAAAGAATAAATGCTAGAGTAAATAATCAGTTAATATGCAGTCATTATTATGCACAATACAGAAGCTTCCCAATGTGTTCGTAACTTGAAGACTTCCTGTGTTATAATTTTTTTTTTAACAAGTCGGTCGTCTCCCACCAAGGCAGGGTGACCCAAAAACAAAGAAAATACTTTCATCATCATTCAACATTTTCACCTCACTCATACATAATCACTGTTTTTGCAGAGGTGCTCAGATACAACAGTTTAGAAGCATATGTAAAGATATATAACATATCCCTCTAAACTGCCAATATCCCAAACCCTTCCTTTAAAGTGCAGGCATTGTACTTCCCATTTCCAGGACTCAAGTCCGGCTATATAAAAATAACCGGTTTCCCTGAATCCCTTCACTGAATATTGCCCTGCTCACACTCCAACAGCTCGTCAGGTCTCAAAAACCATTTGTCTCCATTCACTCCTATCTAACACACTCACACACGCTTGCTGGAGTCCAAGTCCCTCGCCCACAAAATCTCCTTTACCCCCTTCCTCCAGCCTTTTCGAGGACGACCCCCTACAGATTTATATGCTCTCCATGTCATTCTTCTTTGATCCATTCTCTCTAAATGACCAAACCACCTCAACAACCCCTCTTCAGCCCTCTGACTAATACTTTTATTAACTCCACACCTTCTCCTAATTTCCACACTCTGAATTTTCTGCATAATATTTACACCACACATTGCCCTTAGACAGGACATCTCCACTGCCTCCAACCGCCTTCTTGCTGCAGCATTTACAACCCAAGCTTCACACCCATATAAGAGTGTTGGTACCACTATACTTTCATACATTCCCTTCTTTGCCTCCATAGATGACATTTTTTGTCTCCACATATACCTCAATACACCACTCACCTTTTTTCCTTCATCATTTCTATGGTTAACCTCATCCTTCATAAAACCATCCGCTGACACGTCAACTCCCAAATATCTGAAAACATTTGCTTCTTCCATATTCCCTCTCTCCAATGTGATATCCAATTTTTCTTTATGTAAATCATTTGATACCCTCATCACCTTACTCTTATCTATGTTCACTTTCAACTTTCTACCTTTACACACCCTCCCAAACTCGTCCACTAACCTTTGCAATTTTTCTTTAGTATCTCCCATAAGCACAGTATCATCAGCAAAAAGTAACTGTGTCAATTCCCATTTTGTATTTGATTCCCCATAATTTAATCCCACCCCTCTCCCCAACACCCTGGCATTTACTTCTTTTACAACCCCATCTATAAATATATTAAACAACCATGGTGACATTACACATCCCTGTCTAAGACCTACTTTTACCGGGAAGTATTCTCCCTCTCTTCTACACACCCTAACCTGAGCCTCACTATCCTCATAAAGACTCTTTACAGCATTTAGTAACGTACCACCTATTCCATATATATACTTGCAACATCTGCCACATTGCTCCTCTATCCACTCTATCATATGCCTTTTCTACATCCATAAATGTAATGAAAACTTCCCTACCTTTATGTAAATACTGTTGACATATATGCTGTACATATATGTACAGTGCCTGCACTTTGAAGGAGGGGTGTTAATGTTGCAGTTTAAAAACTGTAGTGTAAAGCACCCTTCTGGCAAGACAGTGATGGAGTGAATGATGGTGAAAGTTTTTCTTTTTCGGGCCACCCTGCCTTGGTGGGAGTCGGCCAGTGTGATAATAATAATAAATAAAAATATATGCTTCAATGTAAACACTTGATCTACATATCCCCTACCCACTCAAAAACCTCCTTGCTCATCCGCAATCCTACTCTCTGTCTTACCTCTAATTCTTTCAATAATAACCCTCCCGTCAATGTGTTTATAAGTTGAGGAGTTACTGTAGTAAGGTTTTCTTGGGTCAAGTTTAATATTATTATTATTATAAAGATAGATAGCTGGAAGGCTTTACCAATCATGAAGTATACCAAACATCAATATAAGCTTAATAAAAAGAGAAAATGTCTTATTTTTGTATAGTACAGTATTTATATATGCATATTTGTTTTCACAGTGTACTGCACCATGTGGAGGCCAGGGGTATCGAACTCGACTCTTGCAGTGTGTTTGGAATGGAACAAAGAAAGCTGCTGGCAACGCCTGCCGGGAACTTCCCCGTCCTGAGGTGGTTCGCTGGTGCGATGGTGAACCCTGCCCTGACCTCAGTATGTAATATGGAATCCAAATCACCAAATCATGGGTCAAGGCCAAGAGGTCGCCAGGTACAGTGTTACTGCCGGACGGTGCATGGTTCACACTGCTGCATTCACAAAAAAAAGCCAAAACAATGGGATGAAAGATGTCTGTTATTTCTGGTGAGAAAGAAAAATCACTACATATCTCAGAAACAAGGAAATGTTTAAAAGTATCACAAACTTGCTATGAGAAAATCTTCAATTATTACATAGTAGATTTTATAACATTTATAAACATAAATTATATTTATTAAATTAGTTACTAGTACTGACTGATCACATTTTGTGGAGAAACTACACCTATATACAGTTGGGAACATTTATTACAGGAAACGTTTCACTATGAGTGACAAAACATTTCCTCTAATAAATGTCCTGAACTTTACACAAGTGTCTTTTTCCACATCTTGTTGGTATCACCAGACTATTTACTGGTGATCAGTTTTGTCTTCTTAATATAGATAAAAGTATTAAACACTAACTCTAAACATTTTACAATGTAAATTGGATTTATGCTCTCAGTCTTATAACTAAATTGTTTTCACCTAACTTTGCTTTTAACATTTTATATTCTATTAGGCTCTAGAAAGAACAAAAAGGCACAATTCCATGACTGGAAGAATACACAGATAATCTGCACATGGGAGAAAGAAACTTATGCTAACATTTCAGTCCAAGTTGGACTGAAATGTTGTCTTGAGCTTCTTTCTCCTATGTGCAGCTTATTTGTGTACTGGGCTGTACTTTGTAATTCATGTTTTGAGCTGCCTCAATGTGTAAATATTATTACCTTTGCTGATACTTGAGTAACATTCTGTTTCCAGATATGCAAGAGCTTAACACAGCAATTTCCAAATTAACAAAAACTGCTTTAGACTAAACGAGATTGGTGATAAGCATATGGCAAATTAACCCGCTACAGCAACTACTAACATTATCGTCTTTAGAGTTGTTACCGAGGTGTGACTAAAAAAAAAATTTGAGTTCCCAGTTTATAATTAACAGATTTTTATCAATTTGAGGCCTTGAAACTGACTATAAGTCAGGCATGTTCAGGTTATTTTCAGAGTACAGTAATACTGTAACAAACGTCAGTAAAAGCTTATCAGGAATAAACAGTAAAGGAGTCTAGCAATGCAACAACGTTAGTGCAAGTGATTGCAATAATAGAGTGCACCTGCAATCTTAGTTTTTAAGCAGCTAAGGATTGTAAAAATCACCGAGCATATTTTTAATATCGAGAGCACTGATATTTTAGTTCACTCACACGTGAGCACACACTTCTTGAACAAATAATTTAAGACAGTCATATTATTATTTAACATTTATATAAACATTTCACAGCACATTGCCTACCTATCTACAATTCCAAGTAAATGCTTTCATTTTCTTCAGTCACTATATTTTTAAGGTAAACCATCCAGTATTATATTTTAACACTGGCCGTCTCCCACTAAGGCAGGGCGACCCAAAAAAGAAGAAACACATTCACCATCATTCACTCTATCACTTTCTTGCCAAAGGTGTGCCAACATTATCTCTACCCTTTCTTTAGAGTGCAGGCACTGTACCTCCCGCCTCCAGGACCCAAGTCCAGCTAACCGGTTTCCCTGAATTTCTTCATAAATGTTACCTTCCTGATACTCCAATATAAACTTAATGTACTGCTGAAGTGCCAAAGCTATAAGGGTCATACAGTGTCTAGGGAATGAAAGGGTTAATTAAGTCTGTTCCAAAGAATGTGATGACAATTTCAGTTCCATGGATCAAAAGCATTTCACCAGCATCAAGCAAATCCCCATTGGAGGGTTAAGCATCTTATTATCTTATCTTATCCAGCTTCACACTACTGTTACCAAGTTCATCTTGTTATTTAAATGGACACAGTTGCAACTGATGTAACACTTCATTGTGACAACGTTTCACTCTTCAGGAACTTCGTCAAGCAGTGGCCTAACCGTCTGACAAAGCTCCTAAGAGTGAATTATTATTATTATAATCAAAAAGAAGCGCTAAGCCACAAGGGCTATACAGCGCTGCAGGGTAGGGAAGGAAGCAAGGGAATTGGATGGCAGAAGGGAGGGGGGATGATCAGCAGGTTACAGAAAACAGCGGGGCAGGGGATAGTACGGGGGTAGAGGGTAGCAAGAGATACAAGTAGAAAGGGCTGAACGTATCAAAATTTGTGGAGTAAGTCAGTCGTTGTCAAAAGTCAATGAAGAGTCCGGATGAAAGTGGTCCATCAGCGAGAAGGGAAGGTAAAGAGAGAGCAGCGGGGCGAAGACGACGACAGAGGTAAATTCTGCGTGCTCGTTGATAAAGTGGGCAGTCCAACAGAATGTGGCTGACTGATAATGGAGCTTGGCAATTCTCACAGAGAGGAGCAAGACGCCTCTCCATGAGATATCCATGAGTAAGACGAGTATGGCCAATGCGAAGACGGGAGAGAGTAGTCTCCCAACCTCGACACTGGTGATAAGAAGACGGCCAGTAACCTATACTCGGTTTAATAGACTGAAGTTTGTTGCCGAGCATAGTAGACCAACGTTGTTGCCAACGGGTGTGAAGGTGGGAAGATATTACAGCAAAATAGTCCGTACATGGAATACCTCTATAAGAAACTGGTAGGTCATGTACTGCTGACCGCGCAGCAGTGTCTGCCTGTTCATTGCCCTGTACGTCAACATGACCAGGGACCCAACAAAAAACAATATCTTTATGCTTAGTAAAGATGCGGCGTAGCCAAAGTTGGATACGGAGGACTAAGGGGTGAGGTGTATCAAATTTTTGTATAGCCTGTAAAGCACTAAGGGAGTCTGAGACAACCACAAATGATGACACAGGCATAGATGCAATACGGATAAGTGCTGTAAGGATGGCATATAATTCAGCAGTAAAAAATACTAGCTGAAGATAGTAAATGCCCTTGTACGACGCTGTCCGGAAACACTGCTGCGAATCCTACGCCGTCAGAAGACTTAGAGCCATCTGTGTACACAGCAATGGCATGAGAATGAGAGTGAAAGTGGTCAAGAAAAAGAGAGCGGGAAGCGACCGTAGACAGTTGGGCTTTCGAGCAAGGGAGGGAGAAAGAACAGACTCGAACAGCGGGAACTTCCCAGGGGGGTAGGGAAAAGTGTGATGCTACATGTACATAGAAAGGTGGTAGTTGAAGAGAAGACAAGAGCGAATGAAGGCGAAGAGAGAAGGGACGGAGTAAGCAGGGGCGGCGAACAAATAAAGAATGTCTACTAATATCAGTGACCATTCTATAAATGGAAGGATTGCGGAGATCATGAGAGCGTACATAGTAGCGCAGGCAATGGGCATCACGGCGATCGGATAAGGATGGAACGTTCGCTTCTGCATAGAGGCTTTCGACAGGGAAGAGCGAAAAGCACCAAGGCATAAACGTAATCCTTGGTGATGAATGGGGTTAAGGCTAGAGAGAGTAGCAGGAGATGCCGCTGAATAGATTCTGGTCACCATAATCAAGTTTCGATAAAATAAGGGTGGAATGTAGGTGAAGGAGGGTTCGACGATCAGCTCCCACGAAAGATGAGCAAGGGTTTTAAGAAGGTTCAGCCGGCTGTGACAAGTTGCCTTCAGAGAGGTAATGTGAGGTTTCCAGGATAACCTACGATCAAAGAGGAGGCCCAGAAACTTGACTGTATCACGTTCAGGGATACGTGAGCCATAGAGGTACAAAGGATGATCAGAGATGACAGAGCGTCTAGTGAAAGTGATTTGGTGGGTTTTAGTGCTGGAAAATTTAAACCATGTGTGGTGGCCCAATTGGAAACACGGTCGACTGCATGCTGGAGAGAAACTGTAAGGAGGTGACAGTCAGCGCCTGCACAGGCAATAGCGAAGTCATCAACATAGAGTGATGACCAAATATTTGATGGAAGACTAGAGGCCAAATCTTTAAATTAGCAAGGAGAAAAGTGTTGTGCTCAGAACACATCCTGGGGGACACCTTCAGCTTGGATAAAGTCCGGGGAGAGCACATTATTAACCCGAACACGGAAATGCCTGTCAGTTAAAAAGTTCTTAAGGAAGGATGGTAGATTGCCTCGAAGGCCTAAGGAGGGGGCCCTTGGGCTAAATATATACCTCCAAGTTGTGTCATATGCCTTCTCAAGATCAAAAAATATGGCAATAACTGAGTGGTTATTCGCAAAGGCATTACGAACATACGTATCCAAGCGCAGTAAGGGGTCTATGGTAGAACGTCCCTTACGAAAGCCATATTGACGAGTGGAGAGACTGTTGTGTGTCTCTAAATACCACACTAAACGTCTATTTACTAGACGTTCCATTACTTTGCAAAACTGAAACTGGTAAGAGCAATGGGACGATAGTGGGAGGTTTCATGTCCCGTAGTGCCTGGTTTGCGGAAAGGGAGAACAATGGCGGATTTCCACAGCTGTGGAAGAACTCCTTGTGACCAAATAAGATTGTAAAGGCGTAATAGGACTGCAAGGGCTGACTGATGTAAATGTTGTAGCATACGAATATGAATGTCGTGGGGCCCAGCTGCCGATGATCGACAAGCTGAGAGTGTTGCCTCCAGTTCTTGAAGTGTAAAAGGCACATTATACTGTTCTTCTCTGAGAGAAGAAAAGCCCAAAGGGGTGCTAACTCTCTGGCAGACTTTGAGGAAAGAAAATGAGGGGCATAGATGGAGTCCCTGAAAAATACGGACCAGATGATTGCCAATTTCATTGGCAACATCTAGTGGGTTTGCTATATCAACACCGGCAACCCGCAGAACAGGAGCCGGGTCAGGAGAATATTTACCACTCAGTTTTCGTACTTTTTTCCAGACTGCACTCATAGAGGAAGCAGAGGTGATGGTGGAGACATAATTCTCGCCAGCAAGTGCGTTTAGCGTCACGGATGACACGGCGAGCGATCGCACGCTTCTGTTTAAAATCAAGGAGTCGCTCTGTGGTTCTATTGTACCGGTACCTGCCCTATGCAGCGCGTTTCAAACGTACTGCACGAGCACAAGCAGGAGACCA